ATATGGTAGTAATGCTCTTAGATCACAATTACAAGGTTTATAGTTTAATACTATTTAAGAACTAAAATCAAAAATTACTATTTGATCAGGTTTACTAATTATTTTATAAAAGTTATATTCAATTATCTGAAACAAGCTTAAATTAAGTTGGATTATATAAAGATGACACCTTTAACTTTTGTTGATCAGAAGTTAAGATTTATGGTTATATGTTGGAAGGATTGCATAAAGAAAGACTTCTGACTTAATTCATTATAAATGTCCAAAGATCTTTTTGCTCTGGAAAACTTCAGAATCCCTACTCTTCTAGCTCAGGATATTATAATCTAATATTCTACTTAAATGAAAATTAGTTAATAGGGATTGATTCAAAATCACAGATACAGTAGTTATAAAGAAGACAAAGTATTTTTTTTCAAGATTTGAGCAAATAATATTTAGGAATTTTATAAAATGCAACAAATTCTATCAGATATACTGTATATGAAAAAAAACTAATTTGATAAAACATAAATTTGTAAGTTTAATACTAACTAGTTTAGTCATGTCATTGAGAATTATATACTAAAGATCTGGACTTAGTTAAGTCTACAACTCAAGAAGTTATATTCAATCTCGCTAGAATTAATTGTGATAGATTATTATCAACATATATATATATATAGCTTGTATAAGATAATTTATGATATACTATATAATTTAATTATTTATTAAAGAGTACGTATCTAATATCAGTTGCAGGTTAAAAAAATAAGGCTAATATATAGTTCCAGACTAGCTTTATTAACAATATTATTAATAATTTTATATTAATCATTTGATTTTTAATCAGGTCTACTCTCTTATAAAGAAGCAATAGATATATTTAGAACAAATCATAATAAGTTATTAGTAATTTATATATAAAAAATATATAATATATTATACTATAGTATTTAATTGGTAATCCTTATTAAGATATTCTTAATAAAGAGCTTGTATCAAAATATTAGTTATAATTAAAAAAAATTATTAATAATAATAATCAATCAATAAAATAGTGAAGACGACTACAAAAAAAAAAAAAAAAAAAAACAAATAGTGCATATCACATTAATAATACACTTTAAGTATAATGAGCAAGAAGACTTTCAAGAATCAAATCTTACAAAGTGCTCAGGATGCTCAAAGGGTACGAAAAGAACAACTTCTACATTATCAAAGTATCAAGAAGTAGAATACATCTAGTACCATTCCTTAATAATAGAAAGACTACAAGAAGAGTTCAAAGTTTAAAATAAAGATCTCTGTTTCAAGATAACATCAAATAAATCAAAGAGAAACAAAGTGATAGCAGATACAATTCATTGATAAATGATGTACGCAGTTACGTTGGAAATGACAAATTGTATCACGGGAACATGTATTTCTCGAACTCTCCCACATATACTCAAAGCTTTATGTATAACAAAAAAGGATCTTGTTTGTTCAAAACTTTTTTTTTTTGTTCGGATCCGTTGGTCCGAACGATCCTATTTCTCCTGAAAATTGAATAAAAAATACCTTTAATTGAACGAACTCGTATTCCCCGTAAAGCAATAATAAGGTAGGGCTGGTTTATTATTCTTGAAACATGTCATAACGATTTAATCAATTTTCCCGCCTCCTTAGGTGTTACCAAATAAGTCGAACATATTACTATTCTTATTATACAGTATATCGGCATTTTAATGTTCGCCGAGAAAATCTTTGACCACCATCACGCACACAAAAATAAATTCAATATTATCTTATCCAATTAACTCATCAGCACAGCAAAATTTTCCGGTTAAGCGTCTTGCCGAATTCTCTAATGTTTGACACAGAATCGTAAAAAAATCGAATCCACTTGAAGCGTTTACATCAAAATTTTTCGGAAGATGTACGGTCTTTGTTTGGAGGTTACTTGACAATATTATCAGACGCTGGATGGTTCGTATCCGTGAATTATGTATGCTTGTCAGTAAAAAATTTTCCTCATAACATTTCTCGTGTGTAAGTATTGCGCATACATAGTAAGGACATATACTGTAGGAGCCGATACTTTGATAATCGCTCTACAATTTTGAATTTCGTCATATTTAGATATGATTATGTCGTGAAATGATGCACAACTTTCATTTTTATAATTTTAGTGAAAAGTTGGATGAGCTCTTAAATCTCTAGTAAAATGCCACTATTCCCTATTAAAAAACATCATTGTCCAAAATGTAAGAAGAATACCAAGAGCATGTCTAACGCGGGTCATTGTAAGAAACACCAGTGGGTTTGCAATTCACATGACGGGTAAGTTTAGAGCTTTTGCATAATTTGTGGTATATAGCCTTAGTGACGTACTGATATTATGCAACACACAGGAAACCGTGGGTTATGTTGTGGGGGGAAAAATGTGAAAAGTGTGGAAAAAAGGGCGACTGTAGCATTTGCAGAACAAATGAACACCCCTAAATCTGTTGAATTAGGAGTAGAAAAGAAGTATAGTTCTTCCAACGACAAATCCCTAACTCTGTTGAATTAGGAGTAGAAAAGAAGGTTAGCCCTTCCAACGATTAGGGGTAGAAAAGAAGGATAGCACTTTAAACGATGAATCTTAAGTTATGATTAAAATTATAATTTAATTTTTCGCATCCATTTACTATCTAATACATAATAATGATACAGTTTGTACATGTATATACATATGATCCTGTACCAAATCACAACTGATGATTAATTCTGTTAAAATAGTGGTTGTATTATTGTATTATATTACTGTATTATAGTTATTTTCATAAATAAATTTTTATCTTATCTAAAATAACTCAACCGGGTTCCCTGGGTGACCAAAAGTTCGCTCTTCCATTACTAAAAATTGCGTTGACCAATAGAAACACATATCAAAGACTTTTACAAAGAATACAACCCTGTTTCTCTTTGTAATGATCGTCAAAATGTTTCTCTTTATAATGATCGTCAAAAAAGCACTTTAACAATTTCTCTAAAATATCAAATCTGTGAACCATGAGCGTAAACATGGCTTCCAATTCTTCAATTTTCCTGTCTCGCTCTCTTTTGTCCAATATTTGCCCGCTTATTTCCCCCAATTTTGCAATCATATCTTGACGGAAGAAATTTCTTAATTCTTTCTTTTCCCGGTTCTCCTCCACCTCTGCATCACCACGGGCTTCAAGCTCTTCCACTTCTTGAATCCAAATTGGATACTTGCATATATCCCATAGAGTTCCTGTATGTGAAAACTCCCAATCAATAATTCCTACAATATTGATATCATCATCAACTAATATATTTTGCGCATCAAAATCACCGTGAATGAGAGCAAATGGTGGTCTATCAATCGAGTCATCAAAAGGGTTGTCTTTTGATAGTTCGGATCGAAGCAAGTCCAAACTTTTTTTTAGATCATCCACTCGCTTTTTTGCATCTGCCTCATTTAAATTATCTTGCTCAACAAGCTCTTGTACACCATGAATTGTAAAGAATTGCTTTTCTTTACGAATCAAGGTATAAAGCCACTCTCGTGTGCTGCCAAAAGGGCCAGTATAGCTAGAAGCGTTGGGAATTTCATTTCTTTCTTCAGTGTAGAATAGAGGACTCACGATAGAACCAATTTTAAATGGCTGAATAGGTTTAAAAAAAAAAAAGAAATAAAATTTTTTTAAAAAAGTTGTCATTTCTTTAAAAAATCAGTTTATAAATAAATCATTAAAACATCAGATTCTTTAAAGACGCCTTACTGGATTGGATGATTTCTTATAGATACATCCGATCTTTTTAAATTTGCATTTCCATAACTCGGACAACACATCAACTATCTGACTTAAAACATTCCTTTTCTGTTCAATGTTCAATTTGTCCCAAATCTTGTATAAATGTTTTCCAGGTAGGCGTTCCATCAATATATACGGAATTTTTATGTCATTCTGCGCTTTACTATCCCAAGCATACACTTCTGGAACTCTGATTCTGGTGTTTTGAGCGACATATTTCATAGTTGCAACTTCGCTGGCTATTTTTTCTGCAGGGTGATTCAGATCGCGTGCGAGCCGAGCAATGCAA